CGACACGGGCGTCTTACCCGTTGCCTATACTACTGTCATGTCCTGCCGACAGCCCTCAGCCCTGAGCCCAGCGCAGCGGTATACGCACGCCGCGGCTAACAGCCGCACCGTAACGTTTCGCAATTACCGTACGACCGTCACGTATGTACTGACACCATGCTCTGCGCTGTCACTGACCGCCCCGCCCGTTCGTCATGTCGTTCCCACCGCCGCCTAACCCGCTGTCGGAGGCCGCGCCGTCCCTCGGGCTCGGACTGCGGCCAGCCACCGCCGGCGATCGCCAACCGCGCGCTTGTTTGCTAGGCGCCCACTCTCCTCCCTGCCCGCACTTGTATGGGCGACGCCGTCATCCGCCGGCCTCCCACCCGCTCTTGGCAGCCCTCGCGGCTCAGTGGTTTGCCCGGGCGGCATGTGCGCCGTGTGTCTCTGGGATCCCAGTGACCAGGCTCAGTCCCAGAGAGCTATGGAAGTTTGTACAGCGATACCGGGCGCGAAATCCAGCGCTGCGCCCCTGCTACGCCCCGTTTCCACTCACTTTCTACCCAGCGTGGCCGGTTGGTGACGCATTAAACGTTTGCTAATGCTATCCCGTGACCTCACAGCGGCCGTCACCGAGCTCGTTTATTCCACCCCTAAAGTCCCGGGGTACTTATGATCCCCCCGCGCCCGCATGGCATACCTCATGCCGCCCCTTGCCGGCATCGTGCCCATACATTTGGGCAAATTTTGGCGTCTTTCAGCTAGGGAGAGCTGGAACACACGCAATAGGAGCTGGCGGAGGTCGAGGCCGCACTACGCCAAATCCTCCCGGATACCGAGGTAAGAGACGGGTAGGCCCGGCCCCTCAGTTCAGGCTCATCACACCACGCAGGCACCGGCGACGCCAACGTTAATGGTCTTTTCACGTCAGTTCCGTGCAAAATACATTAACGCTTGGCGTTAGAGGTGCAACCGGCCCCCCGTTTCCTGGAGGTGCCCGGCATATGAGGGAGCCGGCCACAGAGGGTGCGAGCGCCAATAGGAGGCTAGATAAGCGCCAGCGGTCGGGTAAGCAAATACGGCCCGCCCGGCCTGGCGAGGACACTGCGCCGGCCGCCGGGCGCCTCCAGTGCGTGAGTGGCACGTCAGACGGCGGCCGCTCATGTTTTTCGTTTTTTTTCTTTCTTATTTTTCCTTTGTCTCCTTCCGTCAACTCCGGCGTCTTTCAGCTAGGGAGAGCTGGAACACACGCAATAGGAGCTGGCGGAGGTCGAGGCCGCACTACGCCAAATCCTCCCGGATACCGAGGTAAGAGACGGGTAGGCCCGGCCCCTCAGTTCAGGCTCATCACACCACGCAGGCACCGGCGACGCCAACGTTAATGCAGTTTTATTCACCTCGGTTTTTTGCTACGGACCTCGTGCCTACCGGCACTCGGTCCTCCGCACAAAAACCTCGGTGAATAAAACGCATTTTCCCAGCCCCGGTCGGGAATATATATTCATTATCAGCGCCATAAATGTTCTGTAACACTGTTACAGCTCCGTCCGTCTTGACGTAACAGTGGCACCTAATTACGCTCCCGCAGCGTAATGTCTATTTATCCGTCGTTATTGCATGATGCAGGACCCCTCGCTCGATGACATTTGTTAATGTTTCATAGTTACGTGTCCTTGTAATATCAGCTGCAAAGTGGCTGGCCTTTGTCCTGAGGTCCCATATATTTGGTATGTGTAGGTGCCTTGGTGGACCCGATTTGGTGTCCACATTCCTGCTGCGTCTGTCACGCTGTCTGTCACGGTATCTGTCACGCACGTGCCGGCGGCGCGCGTCACACAGCTCAGCTGATGTGTCCGCGCTGACGCAGCGCCGCACCGGCCGTGACAGGGCGGTCGGTGCCAGGGCGGGGGCGGGGCCGCCCAGGGCGGGCGGGGGCGGGGCCGCCCGCTGTCGGCTCGACACTATACCTACCAACGGTGCTCCCGATCAGAGCCTAATCATCACAAACGCTCGGTGCTGCTATCTTTACCGCTGGGCTTTTAAATCACCTGACAATCACATCACGACTATTGCTGCTGTATTTGTTTTGCTCATCTCTCTGCGTCCCCCCCCCCCATCCCGCTCGGCGTCGTCCCAATTCGCCTTGTGACGTCACACACACACACACACACACTCGGCGGCGATCGGTACAGATTCGGGTGACGTCACGGCTGGCGTCGGGAAGCCGCGGCGGCGGCGCGCCGGTTCCGCGAAGCTCGTCTCACGGCGGCGGCGCCGGCGGGGCTGCCGCTCCGCTGGTCGACATCGATTGCTCGGCGATGGTCGGACCCACTCAGTCTGGGCGGCCCGCATCCCGGCGCCGCCCCCCTCCCCCTCCCAGAACGTCGGCGCCGACGGAGTCGACTGGGGGAGGTGCTCCGAGCCAGCCGGGTGCAAGCAGCAAGGTGTGGTCCGAGGCCCTGTACTACACCACATGCTGATGCATTACGTGGGCGGGGCTGATGTATTACGTGGGTGTGTCTGATGCATTAGTGGGTGGGTCTCTGCCTCTGGACTCGTGACTGTCCCTAGAGACGGAATAGGGAACTGTTGACTGAAGAGAGGATCGAGGCTTAGGGAAACGATATGTGGTTTGATGTTTCTTCCCACAAGCGAAGTATCTTTGTCGGTGGTTTTCTTGATGTACTTCTTTGTTGTTTGACTTTCTTTGAAGCGAATCTATTCTTCTCAAAGACACAACAGGCTTAAGCTTTGTTTTCCCTCTCTCGCTCTCGCTCCCCTCTCTTCTCTGCGAAAGTCAATAAACAATCGCATGCTTTTCCCAAGAACTGATTTAAGGGCTGTAGATATATAAAAACAAACGCTACATTATGTAACACCAATAACGGCAATGCGGATGGCCGGCATCGATCGGCTTGTTCGATGCTACCTAACCGTGGGCAAAAAGAGCGGACGTTAGATATATGACTCACAACCTCTAGACGCATCTTTCCACCGCGCTGCCATACCAATCGCCACGTGGCTGGTCTGATTGCGGCCGCCGTCCGTTCAGGGGCGGACGGTCAATAGAACTTATACCTAAACGGCAGCGACCCCAGCCTGGACGATGCGGCTGCGGCCGATTTAGTTGGAACAGTGATCAGGTTCCGTTGACAACTCGTCGGGATCGGTGCTACAGTGGCCCCTCTATTGCTCGGTTCGGGGTAGCCGCGGCGCCGCGCGCTCTTCAACGGGAATGTGCAAAGGTCAGCTTAGGTCACGGGTCAATCTGACGGTCCGGTGTCATCTGATGTAATCGGACGCACGTGCTGCAGGGACTGGAGCCTGGGGGAGTACTCGACCTGGCAGGTTATATCAGCCTGGGAGGCTGGCTAACTTTGGCTATATTACATTTAGGATAGGTGATATCTTGTGAAGGGAAGTTAGCGGGTCACTGTGATACAGGTAATCACAGGGGTAAGTTTGTGAGGTGAAATGAGGTGAAAAAAGGTGTGGTGATATGCCCATAGTCGGTATGTTCACGGACAGTCGGACCTGCCAGAGTGGCGATTAGGAGCGGCGTGCCTGCCAACAGGCGCAGCTCACATGTGGTTCTCATCGATCGGCCGCGCCTTCCGACCAATACAGCCGCCTATTCTTACAGCGCCCTGCTACCGGGAAGCAAAGCAGCTGCACCGAGGCGGTTTCCGTTTGTTCAGGGAAAAATCATTATTGAGTGCCCTCTATTACCGTGATTGATAATACCTATGTATCTATATAGACGACCGTAATCACATCAAATATCGCTTGCCACCGAAGCTTTTGCCAATTTTCGTCTTACAGCGGATGTCTTTTTGTATGGTTTCTGTAGGTAATACAGAAGATTCTCCGCAATCGTAGATATATGATTGCTCCTGGGAGAGATCCGTTGGCTTGGAGCTCACATCCCTCTCTCGGAGAGCCCCCTCCCTCTCCACTCCAATCTCCAGTACCTATCGCGCACTCTCTCTCTCCTCTCTCTCTCTCTCTCTCTCTCTCTCTCTCTCTCTCTCTCTCTCTCTCTCTCTCTCTCTCTCTCTCTCTCTCTCTCTCTCTCTCTCTCTCTCTCTCTCTCTCTCTCTCTCTCTCTCTCTCTCTCTCTCTCTCTCTCTCTCTCTCTCTCCTCCCTCCCTCCCCCCCTCCCTCCCTCCCTCCCTGATCACTGATATTTATGCGTAAGACCGTTACATAAGCCAGCTCACCTACATTTGGCGTTAGCTCGGGCGGCGGTGTGCGCGGGTTCCGCGTACAGAGCCTCCGACCGCCTCCGGGCTGCCGGTCTCCAAGATCCGCCGCATTAGGGCAATTATACCGGCCGCCGGCGACACGGGCCCGTTCCGGCAGTCTCTCGTCACTGATTACCGACGACGGCGGATTCGCGCCATAATTGTACTCCAGAAACGAAGCCGCGTCGAAAACGTCGCGCCGGCGGCGCCACTTCCTTCTCGGCTTCCCTGTATAGCCGAGGCCAGTTCCGGGAATCATTGCCGGGTATTAGCGCAATTCGCACACGGAAATGTGTGCGGCGGCGATAATGCTGGCCGGAAAATTCACGGTCTCAGCGGCTCAATCAGTTAATGATGTGGTGAACAATTAGTTCATAATTATGACCTCACTTTCCGGTCACCGGCCGCGGTTGTTCCTGTTCGGTGTAAAAACAGCGGCGACGCGGATCGTTTGGTGTATCGATTGTCGCTATTGCTAACGTCATGAGCATCAATGCTAATGATGTAATCTAGGTAATTGTGTTCCTTATAGTTATAGGATCATTGTGGTAGAGTTTATTGAAAGATGTCAGTCCCGACTAGCTGGAATTAGCTGAGGTTGCAATAGCGATTGACAGCAATGTCATCCGATGAATTCATAGCCAACAATATTAATAATGCCGTGTATAGCATATGCCATGATACAGTACGTGACTCGTTGATTGTCCCGTTCGCTCCGCCCCGCGTCCCGTGTCCGTGCCGCTCTGTGTGACACCTGTGTCTCTGTGTGTCCGGCAGAGGGCGTGTACTACCACAAGAAGTTCAAGCTGCTGTCGTGCCTATCAGAGCCGGCTGGCTACGACGCCGTGGCGGCGGCGGCGGCGCTGCGCCCCCAGCTGGTAGCCGCCGGCTGGGAGGCCCGCCGCCAGCTGCCCGAGCCGCCCCCGCCCGCCGCCGAGCCGCCGCCCCCGCCCTCCGCAGACGAGGCCGCCCTGAAGGCGGCCCGCAAGGCCGGCAAGTACCAGTGCAACTTCTGCGGCAACTTCTTCGCCAAGCCCAGCGTGCTGGACAAGCACATCCGCTCGCACACCAACGAGCGGCCGTTCTCCTGCGCCGTCTGCAAGTACTCGTTCAAGACCAAGAGCAACTTTGTCAAACACTGCAAGACGCGCAAGCACGCGGCTCGCAGCGCGGGCGGCGACGGCGGCGACCTGCCCTCGGACGAGGAGGTGACGGACAGCGAGATCAGCGAGGCAGAGGGGGACGCGCCGTCCGAGACGGACAGCTGGACAGCACTGGACCTGGCGGCGCCTCCGGCCGCCTCGCGCTGGTCGGCGGCCGCCCCGGCCGATCCGCCGGCCACCTCGGAGCGCGTGGAGCCACCGCCGGCCGGCGGGCCCGCCTCCTCCCGGCAGCACATCAGCCACTCCATCGAGCACATCATCGGCCGGTCGGAGGAACCCGGCTCACCGCCGGATCCACCCGGCTCGCCCGGCGCCAAGGGAGTCGTCAGTCACATCGACAAGGTGATCCAGCTGAACGAGGCCCAGCTCAGTATCACCAAGCGGGCGCTGGACAACTTCGGCCGGCATAGCACCACTCTGGGCCGGGAGCGCGAGACCGTGCGCCGGGTGACCTCTGTGGACCCGTCGGCCGGCAGCCGGCGCGGCTCGCTGTTCCTGCCGGCGCGGCCGGCGCCCGCCGAGCCGCCCACGCCGCCGGCGCTGGCGCGGCGCAGCTCTGTGATCGGCGTGGAGGCGCAGCACGACACGGCGCCGCGGCCCACGGAGCGGCCGCGCCAGCCGCCGGCGCTGCTGCGCAGCTCATTCAGCGTGCCGGCCGCCGCCGAGGAGCCGCCGCTGGCCAGCGACAGCCTCCAGTTCACGGCCATGCCCAGTCTGCTGGAGGCGCGCTGCGTCGGCTGCGGCCTCTCCCACCCCGGCCCGTGTCCGCTGCTGTCGGACGGAGCGGCCGCCGGAAGCGGCGGACACATCCTCAAGCGGCACCTGCTCTCCAGCGCGGCCGGATCGCCGCAGCTGAAGCGGCGCCGCCTCTCGCCGGACGTGGAGCGGCTCTCGGCGGCGGCGGCGGCGGCGGCACGCTACGAGCCACTGGTGCCGCCGCCGGCCACCGCGCCGCCGCCCGGCGGACGCTCGCCCTTCGAGGAGCGCAAGAACCTCAGCTACATGGGCGGCGGCCAGGTGATGGTGAACGAGCCGAGCGAGCGGCGCACCTACCGCGTCAACCAGTCGGTGTCGGGCACCTCTGCCGGCGTCAGCTTCTACGTGTCCTCTCCGCCGGCCAGCGCGGCGCCGCGCGAGACCAGCCCGCAGGTGATGACCATCAAGTCTAACCTCAACTCTGGTGGCAAGATGATCGAGATGAGCGGCTCGTCGGACAGCAGCTCCGGCGGCTCGCAGCTGGGCACGCCGCGGCTCACCGGCTCGGCGCCGCCGCTGCAGCACAACCCGTTCCACTTCAACAAGCCCATTTCCAGCATGTTCACGGGCTCGTTCTACCCGGCCATCCAGGCGCCCAACATCACGCCGCAGCTGGGCCCCATCATGCTGCCGCCGAGTCCGAGTCGGCTCGGTCCCGGCGGCAGGGAAGGCAGGGAGGGACGGGAAGGCGGCGCCAAACGGTTCTGCTCGCCCAAGTCGCCGTCGTCCGGTCTGCTGTCGGTGCCCGGCCAGCCGAGCCACGCGCCCGTGGTGGCCCTGCCGTCGACCACCCGCGCCGGCGGCGGCAAGAACCTCAAACTCACCATCCAGATCCCTCGGCCCAACTTCCCGCCGTCGACGGCTGCTCAAACCGCCCCCGTCACCGTCCCGTGCCACGTACCTCCTCTGGCGGCGGTGGCGGCGCCCGCCCCCGCCCCCGCTCCCGCCCGCTCCCCTGCTCCCGCGCCGGCCCCTGCCCCCGCCCCCGCGCCGGCCCCCCGCTCACCGGCCATCCTACAGCCGCCCATCAGCCCCGCGCCGCGGCGCTCCCCGTCTCGGCCGGTGCCGCACATCCCCGGCATCCCCGGTCCTTACAGCGCCGCCTCCGACATGCCCGCGCGCATCGAGCGCCCGCCGCCGCCGCCGCCGCCGGCCCGGCCGCCGCCCAAGATCCAGGTACAGGCGGCTGACGAGCCGGCGCCGGGCAAACTGGGCGGCAGCCTGCCGCGGCCCAGCTCGCTGCCCCTCCAGCCGGTGAAGTACGTGAACAAGTCTCAGCGCGGCGCGGCCCTCTACAGCCCCGAGACGCCGCGGCCGCGCAAAGCCATCCAGCAGACGCACATGAACGGCAAGTGCTACACATACATCGGTCACAAGAGCTCAACCAAGCTGTACTTCTGCAGCCTGTTCCAGCCGCAGCCCAACTACGTGGAGCAGAAGTGCGGCGGCCACCAGGTGTCGATGTACTCCCAGTGGAAGCACTCGGAGCCACCGGCGGACGGTGTGCCCGTCACCCGCGCGCTCTCCACGCTGCGCCTGTCGGTGAATCGTGGCTCGTTCGGCCGACTGAGCTTCGCCAGTCCGGAGCTGGGGCCGACCGAGCCGCGCTTGGCCGCCACCGGCCTCCGACAGCCGCGGCTCAGCACCGGCAGGAGGGCCGAGAAGGTAGGACGCCGGGGTACCGCGAAACGTACCCACTCGGTATGTGCGCGTGTGTATGCGTGTGTGTGGGGGGGGGGGGGGTGGAGAGTAAAGTTCCACAGTGGATACCACATAAGGACCGCGTGGTATTACTTGGTGTGCTATTTTTGTTTCTTTTTTAGAGTACGTGAGATCACATTATATGGTTTCTTACAGATGATATTGCTCCAATCTTACAGCTTCCGAAGTACTCGTATTTCTCTCGGACAAAACTTATCTGACATTTACAGTGCTTGTGAAAGGTTGCGTAAGGGCTGTTCGTTTCGTCTGTAACGAGTCGTTCTGACGCTCTGGGCAAGAGGTATGTTTCTCGGAACCAGCGCTCCCCATATGCAGTCTTCTGCTGTGCCGCGGATCCTGGAACAGTCTGTTTCCACGCTGCACATAAGATCGGACCTGGGAGGCGAACTCGGCATCTGTATTACTTCCGTGCAGTCTCCGGCTTCTGGCTGCTCCCGCCCGCTGTGGGGCTGTCTCCGGCAGCGCGTCTGATGCTCAGATGGGACGCGCGGTATTGACGCGGCTCGGTTCGCGGAGCTGGCAAAGATGCACTTCCACGGAGGCGACTCGGGGAACGATTTCTGGAAAGCATGCGCGCTGCTCTCATTCTTGGCGTGTTTTCATCAAATAACGCAACTCTGCTGATTGCTGAGATTACTTGCGATGTGTTGTTCCATTTGGCACTTTTTCTCGCTACATGCATCCTAGTGTGTAGCGTTAGATCGTCTTTGATCCAACCGGAATTATCACCCATCCCTGCCTGCTCTGTTCATGCCTATCCCCCTAGAGAGTGGTACGGGTGGATCTTCCCAGCGGCTGAGACCGCCGAGCAGCGCCTATCGCCCCGCGAATCACCTCGTGGCCGCGCGCTGACGCCGGCTGGCGCCATTTCTGAGAAGGCGCGCTATTTCCCGCCGATCGTGCACTGATATACGGCGGGCGGCGGCGCCCGGGGACCCACTGTTCGGGAACCGGGACCCACTGTCCGGTGACTCCGGTGCCCGCTGTCAGTCTGTGGCTAGCTGTCCGGAGGCTTTCGGGAGCCCGGGTCTGCATGTCCGGTGAGCTGGTCTACCTGGCTGTCCGGTGCCCGGTTCCAGCTTTTTGGTGCCCGCTGTCGACGAGGGTCCAGCTGTCTCACCCTCACCACTGTCCGAAGTTTGACACAGGTCGTCTGGCGGTCCGTAAGGGTTGTCCGGTAATTAGTTAGCGGCTGTCCGCTGCTGAAGGAGTGATTGTGGTCCGGTTACCTGTGCAGCTGCCAGAAGGGTGAGATGTTTAATGGGTGCCCGCTGCCAGGTGAGGACTGCCAGGCCTGTCACAAACCACCTGGAATGTGAACTCCGAGCTGATTGAGCGGACTCGTCCGTCGTTTTCTGTTTGTCACGGTCGTTTGACCTGAAGTGATGCTCACTTCGAGCCATAAGGTGGAAATGATGAGCCGTTCGGAGTCTCAGAGTGTGGCCGTGTCTGTTTCTCTGTCAGCAATGTTTTTGTGTAATGGGATTTATGGCTGTCGGCAGCCTCCAGTCTTTTTGTAATGGTCCTCTCAACCAAACCGAGCAGTGATATGTGGTAAGTGCTCACTGCTCAGTTTCCGTGTCCGACTGAGGTGTATTCAATGCGTCATTATATGCGGCTATAAACAAATGATTGGCTATTTTCATGCAAGCGTCGGGTGGTCATTACGTCAGTGTAACGACTAATCCGGGAAATAGCATGCAGATTGTGTCTGCACCTGGAATTCGCTGTTCACGCGAGCGGGTGCACGGTGGTGCCGGACTGCCTTCTATGGAGTAGGGCCGTCTGGTTGTGTATCGCCCGCTGCCGCTGCCGCCGCCGGCTGTCTGCTGGTGGGCCGCTCGGAGCCGCGCGGCCGGCGCCCCGCCGCCGCGCCCGCCGCCCTGTCGGACTGTTATTGCCCGCGTCCGGCGGCGTGGCGCGACTCCTGGCGCCGTCTGGCTGTCCTGCACCCCCCCCCCCCCCCCACTGTGGGCGGTACGCTGCAGCTTCTGTGATGCAGCCGGGCCACTCGGACCCGTGCCCTCCCCTCCCCTCCCCAGCCCACGGCGCTATCTTCTGTCAGCCGTGGCGAGCAGACAACTGCGCAGGACACCGGTTTGGTGTTTACGGCTGAGTCGCAGTCACTGGCTGCGATATGAGCAGCTGAGAACACGTCTGAAATCCGCCCCCGGCGCCGTGCTCCCATTATATCTCCGTGTTTTGGCCTCATAATTCTCGTGTCCGGACGGTCTGACTGCATGTCTGATAATAGCGGGATTCCCGTTCCCGGAGTCCCGAGCTCCCGCGTCAGTTCCCTTTTCTGGGACTGGCGCCACTCTCGCTGGCCGCTCGTGTTCGTGTTCGAGTCCTGTCGGTCCGTCGCCCCGCCGCCCGCCCCTGTTCGTGACCGGGCTGCGCGCGCCGCCCGTATTGCTCGGCGGTGTGTGCGAGCCGCCGCCAGCTGGCGTGGTAACTCGGCCGGCATGACGCACCGCTCTGCGGTCTGAATGTGACCTTGTTGGAGCCTGCAGCCGGCCGGCCGGCGCCGCGACGCGACGCGCCGCCCATGCAGCGCCCTGGAACGCGCCGCGTAACAGGAGCGGCGGCGGCGGCGGCGGCGGCGGCGGCGTCACCGCGGGTGCACGCTGCAGTGACCCGCCGGGCGGTCACAGGGGCCGCTGCCGACCGGGGACGCGTCCCAGAGCTGCAGTGGCACTCGGCAGAAGCGAGAGATCGTGGCGCGCCAGTCACGCCGAGCGCGACGTTCAATGGAGCCAGGTGCCATATTTGTACGGTCCATGGTGATCGGCTTTGTTTGCATTCGCTGGAGCATTCCGGCAGGTTAATTTATGCTCGTCTGGCGGCGTCTGGCGCGCACGTTTTCTGGGAACGGGTTCGGCGCCTGCTGGGTGCTTGGTGATGGAGGCTAGATGATGGACTGTGGTCAGCTGTGCACTGGATAGCCACATGGCCCTCCTGTGCAGTGGCGAGCCCTGCAAACGGGCCTGTCTCTGCTGTTTCGGCCGCGCCTGCCGTGTCCTGTTTTCAGTGAACAGCGAGACTCGGCAGTCAGCTGATCCTACGTCTCTCATCTGTTCGGCGAACTGCACTGCACCCCAACACCACTTCATACAGCAGCACACCACAACATGCAACCGGTCGGCGATTCTGTCCGCTGCACGGCCGCTGGGCTGCACCCGGCGCGCCTCACATGGAATTCGGTGGGTTCGTGGAAGCGGCGCGGCGCGGCGGCCGTGTCGCCCCGGTCGGCCGGCCGGTGGCGGCGCCGGCGGTCGGCACGCGCGCCGCCGCCGCTCCCGGCGCCGGCTCGGCGCTCCCGGCCGCCCGTGCACGACCCGTGTCCACGGCAGCCGTCACTGACGGCTGATGGCCGCCGGCCGGCCGTTAGTGTCAGCGCGAGACGCGCCGCCCCGGCCGACCGTGGGCCGTCAGCAGCCGGCGGCACTCTGGGGGGATGCAGCGGAATGCGGCGCTTCTGAAGGATGAAAGACTATGGCTGAGAGGGATGGATGAGGAACAGCGGGGAGAAATGAGCAGCTCGTCGGCAGTAATGACCGTGTCTGCTGCGGCGACCCAGTGTGAGATATTGCAGGCGGTGACGTAAGGCTCTGCCGATGCTCCCGATCCGCAGGCTCGCGGCCAGCTCTGCTGGAAGGGGTCCAGCGCGCCGCGACAGGCGGCTGACCTTGGCTCTGCAGCGGCCCCGGACAGACGCGCCCCGTGCTGACACATGTTGATGGAGCTGAGGTGTGTGTAGGGTGTGTAGCTCACAAAACACGCACTGCTGGTCAGACGACGGCAGACAGTCTGCGTGTCTGCAGCGGTTGGTAGGCTGGGCGTAGAGCTGCGATTTGGGTAGTGCTCGCGTGTGAAGCAAGTGTGTCTCTGAGTGTCATGTCACCATGTACTTCTGTACCCCCACCCCTCCCCCAAACTGCTGCCGTTAGCTGTCCGCCCACGCTGCCTTGGCTCCCCAGCTGACTCTGCGTCCGTCCACTCCCCACAGACGGAGTCGGGAGGCCAGCGGCGGTCAGCTGCCGGCTGCACCTGTTCGCGCGTGGCCGGCGGCGCCTCCCTGCCCTGCCCCAGCTGCTCAGACAGGTACGAGACTCCACAGCGAGAACAGACTCGCATGGAAAGGCGTGGTGGGAGATAGGGTGGGTGAGGGAAAGTCCGTGCATGACGACGAGGGCTGTGATGGAAGGGCGTTAAAATATGGGAAAGGTTATGCGGTGGTTAAGTGCAGAAAGCAGCTATTCAGCTACTGGATGTTTAATAGTTGAATGGTTTATGGGGACGGGCGGGCATTTAAGTGAAGGACGGGTGGCTGGCCGGATAGGGCAAACAACCGCTGCAGAATGGGGAAGTTGGTGTTTACCGCGAGGGCAGACGGCGGCGGCGGCGGCCGGCCGGCGCCGTCTGCACCACCCGACTGCCGGAATCGCCTAATGAGTTCGCTCTACCCGGCTTATATCGGCTTTTACGGCTCTATTTACTGCACTGGCTAGCATGTCAAGGGATAGTTCAAATGGTGATATGCGCATCGAGGTGGATTCTTCGAGGTAAGAGTGGTTTTGTGGAATACTTTGAGGGCCCGGTTCCTGGACGAGTCTCGTTTGGCGTTTAATTGTGTGCACGCCTCGCTTTGGCTGCTCCGAGTGGGGGTGAAATGGTGATTAGCTCTGACGGAATCATCGCGCCGCGAACGACGGAGGTGTGCGGGTTGCAATGTCCCGTTGGACGGTAGAAGAAGGCTCATTTGCTGCCGCTTTGCGTGTCATCATAATTGGATGGGATAGGCGAGCGTTGTGGATTGATTGGATTAAGGTTGCTTGTCCGAGCTCAGCTCGATTTCGAGATACATGTTCCTGTAATAATGTCTTCATTCTTTTCTCGTGAGGCCATCGTGATTGGTCTGAACACTACGGAGGCAACGTTTCCAACTTTGCATCCCAGGGGAGTTACTTTGGCGATCTGTGGTTGATTCGCTTGTCAGAAAACACGGCAGCCTCCGCAGTATCTTCTGGGCCTGGATGTGGGAGCTATCTTCTCAGAAAGGTGATAGGCGATACCAGGTTCACCAAGTTGCACGATGCCCGAAATAGGATATGAAGGCGGACGCTTTAAGCCATACATATGTACTGCATTGCACTCCGTGTGAGCAGAACAGGTTTCATCGGAACGGAAACTTCATTTATGAGTTACCTTCGGCTACAGAGTTTTTTTATAATGTCAGTTGTAATCGACTGGCGCATGGTGTGGCAAAAATTGAGCATTCTTACATATATTGTTTTCTTCCCCCTCAGATAGTTGTTTCTGTGTGTTTCCGATAGCGGATGGTGCATCTGATATCAGTGGGGAGATACGGAACGTATCACCAACAGCCGCTGGTGGTACGGGACGTACGTGGAAGCACGTGCCGCCCTGCCGGCTCCGATAGCCGGCCTATCGCCGGGTCCAGTGTGTGGCGCGCTGACGGCCTGTTCCGGGACTGAGAGTCGTCCTTGTCACTCTGCTATCGACACAGTCCAGAGTGTCGGGGACTATCCCGCCTCTGCCGTGAGGTCTGCTCCCTCACCAGAGCAGCGCTGAAGCGCCGGTAGTCTGTTCGATCTCTCAGCACACCTGTCAGGGAGTCCCTCGTCAGTCACCGTCCGCGCGCCCGGCCGTGCCCTTTTGGCCGCGCCCGTCGGCCCGTCGGCGTTTTACCGAGCGGTCTCCGCGCCAGGCGACAGCTGACGCTGATTACGGCACGCGCGGGGAGGGGAGGGGGAGGCGCTGATTCAGCGCGGAACTCCGCTGCCTCTGACTCACGCACAGCCGTGCCGGCGTGACACACGCACACGCACGTGCTCGGGCTAAGCGGGCCGCTCTGACTCGGTCTGCGTGTGAACGGTCAGCTGCTGTGGGCGGGCTGCTGGTACAGGCAAGCCACGCCTCCATCCCTGCCCGTCAAATTAGACGGAACGGAACGAGCCGGAGCGGAACTGAGCCGGGACGGAGGAGAAGAGCGGCTGACCCGGGACGGGACGAGCCGTCAGCTTCTGAGCGCCCGGCGCAGGCAGACCGGGGAAAACCGAGTGGGATATGGAAGAGAGAGGAAGGAGCGAGAGAGAGAGAGGAGGGATGGGTCAAATAGCGGGGCAGATAGGCTGACGCAACATCCTGTGAACTTTAAGCAAACTTCCACGAAACGAGCATATGGCATGGCGAACCAGACTGAGATCAGCCGCGCCTGCTGCATGTCCGGGACGGGACGGAGACGGCAGACCGGCGCAGGGAACGGGACGGGATGGTGGCTGGGGTACTGACGTGAGGGATACAGGACGGGAGATGCTATAGTCACTGCTAGCATATGATTCCATAATCGACGCGCCCAAGAGTCTCAATGAACTAACATAATGTCAGGATTGTGGAGTTCCTAACCGTTGAAGCTGTGGTGCGAAATTCGCAACGCAATCCTGTGGTCACGACCACGAAAACTCCAACTTTGAGTTCATTTCCTCCGACCCCTGAAGATGGAGCGGGGAAGATAACCTGCCAGTAGTGAGGCTGTGTCTCGAACTGACGTCTCCTACCATGTGTTGTCCTGTGCCGTTCGTGTGCCCCAGGCTGTCGGCCGGGCTGGTATCACCCGTGGTGCTTGGTGACGAGAGCAGGGGGTCACGCCGGCCGTCCACAGTCCCTAGTCCGTCCACGAGGATGGCCAAGTCCTGCTGTACCGCTCGTGTGTCCCGTACCACCCTGGGTAGGTACTCGGTGACGAGAGCAGAGGGTCACGCCGCTGTCCTTATCGGAGCGTCACAGACAGATAGAGCGACGGACACGGCCGGCCGGCCCCCTCCCCGTCCCCGTCCCCGGGTCGGCCACAGGACCGCCGAACCTATCGAGTGGAGGGGCTGGGTAGCGCTCCACGGGGTCTGCGGTGGTGGAGAGGGGGGTGTTTGGTGGTGGAAAGGTCAAGGCTCAGGGCGGGGTCGGTGTCCAGTGGGAGTCCATAGGGAAGTTGTTAGTTTGGGTCGCTGTAGTGCAATTTTGGAATGTAAATGTAAGAGGGGGTTAAATGAGGCAAGTGTTGAAATATGAGGCTCAGTCTAGATGCTTAGTTTGCTGCTCCGGGTGTTCCATTCCACAAACGCCGACAGTGACAGGAGAGCGCCCTCGGGCGGCTGTCACGTGGTCACCCGTTGTGTCCGACGACACAGCTTTGTTCCGTGTTGTGACGCGGCCGGCCGGCCGGTGAGGAGGGGTCCTCCCCCCCCCCTGTTAGTCACCGTACTGCGTCACGGACCCCCCCCCCCCCTCCCCCAGAGGAGGGATGGGGGTCGGCAGGTCGATGGGACCGGTCGATGGCCGCCAGTGGCCGTTTTGCCGCCCAGGTGCACCCCGGATTGGTGTCCCGCGCCCGGCTGAAGGACGTCTTTGTTGTCGATAGCAGGGCTGGGACGCGCCCATACGGACGTCCAGTTATACGGATTTGACCAGGCTATACGGACGGGAGGCCTTACTGGCGAGCAATCCCCACCTAACTATCCTAAGGTAGCCGCCGAAGAGGAGCTGGAGCTCGCTAGTCGTTTTTGCCTAAACTGCTTTTCTAACTACCTGGAGGACAGCCGACAGGTCTGGTACGATATCTTGCACCATCAGAAAGTTCGATGAATTACCCTTCGTGTATCACGAGCAGCACTACCCTCATCCTTCTCCGCAGCCAAAACATAAGCTGTTATGCGGCTTGTAATGCAAAGTTGATAAGCAGGGCTGAGGTGGGTCGGGAGGGAACATGGCCGAACGGGTGAACAGCACGGCTGGGGCGGGACGTAGTAGTAAGAACAGGGGCGGGCCGGGGATCTATCAGTGCCGTTTGTAGTCGCCCCGTCCGCGCAGCTCGCCTCCTAACCTCAGTACAGTCCAGTCGAGAACGTCAGATCCCCGGATAGCGGCGGGGTGGCACGGAGTGTGAGCTGGACCCGCGGGACGTGATGTCAGCTGCTCGGAATGTCCTTTGTTACGGACGAGGGAAACAGTCGCGGCGCTCCATCAGGGGACTGTTGCCCTGGTAACTGAGCAACAGGGCAGTGACGTGGTGCTGGCGTGTGTCAGAATGACGACAGCGGCGAGCCTGCGGTCTGTGCTGATCCCTGTCTGTGTGCCATGGGACCTGCCGTGATCCTACCTGTGCTCTATGTCCTCAGAACTGACCTCCTCTCCCTGTGCTCGGTGATGCGCAGTGACTCCTGTACGAGTATGTGTCCTGTCACCCACATTGACCCTATGTGTGCCACCAGGACGGACCTCTGCCTGTGTCCCTGCACTGACCTCTGGCTGTGACCTGTACTGACGACCCTCCTCTGCCCTGTGACCCCTTCTGACCCTCCCCGTGCTCTCTGTCCCCCAGGACGGACCCGGCGGCCTGCTCTGACCGCCGGGACCGGTACCCGAGCAGCAGCAGCAGCGCAGGAGCAGGACCCGTCCACAGCCGCCTGCTGGGGGCCGATCTCTCCATACGAACCGCGGTAAATACCAACAGACGGACCCGCGCGGTGTCACCCAGCCCTGCGCAGTAGAGCGAGAGCGGCGCACCTTCCATAGCCGCCCAGGTCACAGAGTGCATAAAACAGGACTGACTCGGAGGCGGCTGGCGGAGGAGTTACATAAGTCTGCAGATACGTCTGCCAAATGCAGCAGCACGACTTGTCGCATCTCATGTATCTATGACATCAGCGGGAATCCATTGAGGCTCACCCCAGTGTACCTCTATTACACAGCGCAGTTCGGCCCAGTCCCCTAAAACGTAGAACAGCCCAGCAGAGTATCCCTATTACGCGGCACAATGTAACACCGCATAGCACAGCACAGCTCCTCTGTTGTTGTACAGCTCAGTGCCCGGGGCACAGGGACAACACAACACAGTGTGACTGTGCGGCGGAGCCAGTCGGATGGGTTGTCCCCCTCTCCTCCCTTTCATACTGTACCCGCTCTAAGGCTCGTATTCATCTCAGCTGATGGCCGGTGGCATGTGCTAGACAATGTCAGTCTGTTCGTGCTGTCCAAACATTCGTGAGTAAGCTTTAGCCGATGTAAATTATACGATGGTATTGGCTGATTGCCCTGGCTACGTCAGATAATTGCGCCTCTGTGGTTCTAGTGCGATGTTTGCATTGATGTGTGGAATCATGCCCGATATAGCTGATGACTGAATGTGTCGTAACCGGGATAGAGCGGGTCAATCACATCCTTTGCAGCCGTGTCGAGTTGTTTGATCGATCCCGGCCGTTTGCGATCTCCCGCGATAGCATTGTTCATTCAATCACTGAGTCATCGACAAACCCGATCGGCCTGCAAGTCCGCCGGTTTTTTCTGTCCGCCTGTCCGGCACCGTTACAATGAATGCTGCTTGGAGACTCATTGTGCCACATTTGGAGCCGATCCGTCCACATTCAGCGTTCTGGAGCGCATTCGATGCATCCAAAAATATTTAGCTATTTAGATCCTGCAGCGCTGGAACTTTGATGAATCCTTGCCTGCATGCAGCGGAGCGTTGTGTGCTGGACGGTTTCATAGAATTCCACCCCGGCAGGTATTCATGAGCTCTCTCAGGCATTACGTAGCAGCGGTATGCAGCGCCAATGAAGCACCATCGATTCTGTAGCGTTTAGGTGCTATTTTCCGTGTCGTGTGGTAAGTGCGTCACATCAAAACACAAACTGCCGCGATCAACAGGCGTTAGTGACGTGCAGAGACCCACTGACGTGAAACTGACGTCGAGCTGACGTGCTTGATGCTGTGATCGGCTCAAACTGACGTGATTGACTTATCCTCCCGGCCTCGGTTAAGTCCCGTGCCGCGTGACGGCTGTATCGTGGTGTGGCTTGCTGATGTGGTCAGATGGTTGTACGGGTGGAAGGGAAGACTGGAATGGAAGACTCAGCATGTTCTACGTGCAAAGTTTGGCAGCACTCTGAACCCGCTCAGCCCCGGTTGATCAGTGCCCTGACGCGCGTCTCTCTGTCCCTCAGAGGAACGGCCGTCCGCCGAGCTGGGGCAGCAGCTGGGACAGCGCCGGTGACGAGCGGGACCGAGAGGCCAGCCGGAGTCCGCGCCACCGGCGCCTCAGCAGCGCATCAGGTACGACCGACCGACGCGGCGAGCAGCGCGGCGCGGGGACGGAGCGGGCTGGGACAGGACCCAGGGGACGGGACAGGACAGCTCCAAGCGCCGCGCAGTGTGGGGATGGTCAGGATCGATGGCCATATTCCCTCTGTTGATGGGACTGTCTGACCACCCCGGGTGTCGGTCCTTTGTCGACCAGCTGACCGTCCAGCCGCCCCTCCCCCCCCCCCCCGGTGACTCGTCGAGGAAGGTGCTTTGTCAGCTCCCCTCCCCTAGACGGAGCCATGTTTCCCATGGAATTCCCCTGACGGCGCGGGCGTGCCGGCGAAGATGGTGGCCGCGATTGGATCTGGTCACAGCGCCCTGCCGGTGCTCGGAGCCCAGGTGTTGTTTGTTCTGTGGTGTGTGATTTTTTTTTTGCGGTGTCGCGCTGATTCGTAATCGGGGCTTTCTGTTGGAATGCGATATTGTGTGGTGTTTTTTTGTGATGTTTTGAGGTGTCGACGCTGTCCCATTGAGATGTTCCGTGTTCCTTGTCACTCCCGGGTGCTCCCAGGTGCTCCACTGTGGCGAGTCCAGCCCCGGTCGCCGTGTGTTTGGTCACCATGCGGGGTGTGCGCTCCGCCCAGTGCCACTCCCTTTGCTGCGGGCCGGTCGCTAGTTTCCGCCGCAGGAACTAGTTAGGTGTGGCGGCTGCCGTCGAGTCGATGTCCACACCTATTCCACGGCCTGTCCAGCATCTGTCCACTGTCCACTGTCTGTCCACTGTCCACGGCCGATACAGGCCGATGCTGTTCCCGGAGATAACGGGGTTGGGAGCGGGCCATTCAATCTCTGAAACTCGGGCTGTTTCTGAGGCAGGGTTGGTTTCAGTGTGAGGATGGGATGGACTTCCAACCAGCAGCTGGCGGGATTGTGATTCACTGCTATTTTGACACTGATCTTATATATCGTGAACATCCTGGTTGCATGCTTAGTTCTAATACTTCCCTCTCAACGATCAAAATCCCATATCCTAGGCATATTCTAACCACAACCTCGCCATGCGCTATCCTGTTCCCTCGGCCCCGTCTCTAATACATTGCACATCATGTCGCTGCTTGGCTCCCCAGTTGGCCCAGCCGCTGTACCGCCGGTTTTCGGTGAGCGGCGCGCTCCGTGCAGCCATGTCTAGTGACTGTGGGCGCCACGTCACCCGTGTCGCTGGATGAGATCACGCGGCGCGGTGTCCGTTGGAGCCCGCCCCGCGCCGCCCCCGCCCCGCCCCGCTCTGTGCTGACCCGCCGCCCGCTCCGGCAGGCTCTGCCGAGGACCTGGCGGCCGCCGAGACGCTGGTCACCTTCCGCGGCTCTGCCGGCGCCGGGCACGAGGAGCAGGACGGGCCGATCGACCTGTCGGTGGGCAGCGGCCGGCAGGCGGCGGCCGAGCCGGCGCCGGCGGCCGTCCCGCGCCGCTCGGCCGCCGACGTGCTCCGGCCACTGGCCGAGGCCGACCAGCTGGGGATCATGTACGCCGTGCTCGGCCGGCTGGACGTGAGCCGGGAGGAGCGGCCGGCGCCCCTCCGCCTGCCGCCGACCGGCCCGGAGCTGCCGGCCAAGCAGCGGCGCGTCTCCGCCGAGCCGGCCGCGTCGGTACCGCCGTCGGTGACGGTGACTGCACTGGCGGCCGGAGTGGCGGCCGTGGTCCGGACGCTACCTCAGGTCAAGGAGGAGGCCATGTCGCCGCCCCTGCCGCCCCCGCCGCAGCCGCCGCCGCAGCCGGCCGCCGAGAGCAGTCGACTGCCGGTGGTTGTGGAGGAGATGCCGGATGAGAAGCCGACGCCGCCCCCGCCACCCCCGCCGCCGCTGCCGGCGCCGAGGGCGATCTCCCCGGCGGGGACCGATGACGCCGGCTCAGACGTCGACATCGAGATCGACGTGGTGTCGCCGGGAGACGAGTCGTCGGAGCCGGCGCGCGCGGCGCCCGCCGACGGCTCGGCGCCGCCCGCCGGCGGCATGCAGGCCATCCTGAAGGACATCTTCAACCAGGTGCGCCATGAGCGGGCCAGCGCCGGGTTCGCGCCCTCGCGGCCCGAGGCGGCGGCGGCCAGCGGGACGACCGAGCCGGCCGGCTCGGCGCCCAGCCTGATGCACCCGAACGTGACGGCCGGCCAGCCGGGTCTGGCGCTGACACGGCCCACGCAGCGGGTGGAGCCGGCCGAGCCGGCCCAGCACAGCGACTCGTCCTTCTTCAACAGGTGGGTCACCACGGTCTCCTAGCCCCCGGCGGGCCGGGCGAGCGACAGAGAGTACTGGGAATACAGCGGGAGATAGGTTCGGTGTGTGCTGTGCCACAGACCTCCTGCGCCTAGGCACTCGTACGCCGACTAGATATACATGCATAACGGTGCATCAGGGCGGAAAATTCAGTGTTTGTTTTGGCCCGTGCGTTACGAGGGGATGCTATATGAAGCTGAAGTATATCTCAAGTTAGTTATGTCTGAAGTTATTTGTTCTCTGTCTCGGGCGATTTGTAATCCCCCAACGTCATCGCGTGAGATACTTTGCCAGTAGTTTGTGCCTGTTGAATGCACGTGCTCACATGTGCTGCCACGTTTAATGCTAATTCTTCTGAGCTATTTTTATGAGAAGTGTACGCTTCTGACGCAGTTTTCCCATATAATCAGCTTGTACCGATCAACTGATGGTCTATTGGTAAAGTTTGCGCACACTTGTTACGACGCGTTACCAAGTCAGGCCTCACAGCAACTTTTGTTCATTTCACGGTCGTGCATTCAGGCCTTAGGCGTATTTCATCCCGTTTAAGTTATTAAGTTGCATGTGCGTTGGCCGCCCTAGCACAGAAAACGTGCTTCGTACGATCAACTGCGAGTTTTCCAGGGTGTTAGCAGTATGCGGAGGTTGTGCTTTTAAAACCTGGCTAGCAGCGGGCCTTCTCAAACAGTACGACTGTGCCGTTACAGTTAAATTTACTTTTACTGCTCAGGCTGTCACGAGAATGGCTGTGATTGCGGGCTATGATCCCAGGAAAATGTGATTCTGACTGTGATAGGCACTTACGGCTTGCGATAACCGTACCAAAAGTATATTGAAACGCCTACATACCGGGAGTTCCTAAATAAACAGTCGAATTATTTTTGCTTCTAGTGGCGTCAACTAACAAAATCACAACAATCAAATTGCACGTGATGATAGCACGTGCAATGCCATTTTATTTCATACCAAAATCAATCACTTTCTATCATGCAGCCGTATAGTACAGACATAAAAACAAAAATAGTACATTTCTATTTTGAGACAAAGTCAATCGTTGCAACACAACGTAAGCTACGCCGACACTTAAAAAGGACCCAAGTGCCATCAAGAACCGTCATTTTAAGTATAGTTGAGAAGTTTTTGGCAAGAGGTAGTGTGGAGAACGTAAAAAAAGGTAAATGTGGCCGAAAAAGAACCAAGAGGACGCCTTTAAACGCCCAAAAGGCACGAGAAGCCCTCCAGAGGAGCCCACAAAAGTCGCTCAGACGGCTGGGCCAGGAACTGGGCTGTAGCAAAACCACCGCTCACCGTTTGGCCAGAAACGACGTTCAGCTGTTCCCGTATAAGGTCTCCGTTCACCAAGCACTGTCGAAAGTCGACAAACAGTCACGGCTTCTTTACAGCGGCTGGTTTTTGAGAAATTGCGAGCAGGACAATGAGTTCCTTCACCGAATCTGGTTCAGCGACGAAGCCCATTTTCATATGGATGGCCGCGTGAACTCCCAGAATTTTCGATTCTGGTCGACGGAGCCAACCGATTTGGTCGCGGAAGCCCCTCTGCACAGTGTGAAGTGCACAGCCTGGTGTGCAATGAGCAGCAGTGGCATAATCGGACCTTTCTGGTTTGAGAACGACGCTGGGGAGTCTGTCACCGTCAACGCTCAGCGCTACCGGCAAGTCCTAGCCAAGTTCTGGACTGCGCTGAACAGGCGGCTGGGTGGAGACAGGCAGCTGATGGACCAACAATGGTTCCAACAAGACGGAGCCTCGGCGCACACGGCCGTTGCGACTCGAGAATGGCTGCGGAACCGATTCGGTTCGCGGGTTATCTCCCGCAGAGAGGTGCGGACCTGGCCCCCGCACTCTCCGGATCTGACCCCACTTGACTTCTTTCTCTGGGGTCACCTGAAGTCACAGGTCTACAAAAGCAGCCCCAGAACCACAGATGACCTCAAGAGGGCCGTGTCGTCCGCGGTGCGCCGAGTGCGGCCGGAGATCTGCCGGGCTGCGGTGGAGTCCGCTCGGCGACGCGCAGAGCTGTGTGTGGAGCGAGAGGGGGCTCATCTGGAACACGTCCTCTGTGGCCGCAAATGAAGAGACAGCAAAAAGAAGATGGTATCACGTGAAATGGCATCGACTATTGTGTATGTTAGAAAGTGATTCGTTTTTGTCATGCCTTCCATGCTGATAATATACAGCTTTTACATACGACTGTTTATTTAGGAACTCCCGGTATGGTATGAGTGAAAAATGTCAAATGTGTACCGCTAGTCAACGTCGTGTTTTATTTCTAACGGGGACTTTCGGATGCATCCGGCATTCTTTAACTCCTTGATCTGTTGAGCCAATCTATATCCGTTTTGGCCACATCATAAGAGTGCGACAAAAGTCACCTCTGCGGCGCCTAAAAACCTCCTTAAACCGTCTCTAAAGCAGCTGTTTTGTGCGGCGGTCCTTTGACAAGGCGTACACGCCAGCGGGTCTCGCTGTCACCGGCTCGGACACCGGAGTGGCGCCTATCGGGGCGGGATCTTAGTAGCGAGACGGTCCGCGCTGCCGACTTTGGGGCCACTCGCGCTTCGTGATCTTTCATGCAGGCCGCCGGCCGGTGTCGGGCCGGCAGGGGAGCATAACATGACCGCCATGCAAATCCTGCTCACTACGGAGGGACCGCGGACAGTGGAAATAACTGAAATTCGCCGTCGCATCAAGCCGGCACCCCAGTGGGTCCGGCAGTTTTTCTGGCTGTGGATTAGGCTAGCGATGTTCAGACTGCAGGGCTGATAGCTTAAATTCCCTTCCGGGTGAGGTAGTACCGAATAAGTCTGTCCCAGTTGCTCGAGTTATCCAACCGAGCAGGAGAGATGCCGACAAATCAGCAATCAATTATCGTTTCGTTTTCACTCCCATAGTAATTGCAGTCAGTCTGGTTAGGCTATTTCATGCGTCAAACGGCGACTGTGTTTCCCCTCGTCGGCTCTCGTTTATTCCGTCTGCATCGCCCACAGCTGGGGCAGCAAGGGCGCACCTCACCCCGCCGTCGCTGACCCGACGCTGACCCGCCGCTGACGTCTGACCCGCCGCTGACGTCTGACACAGCCGCTGACCTCTGACACAGCCGCTGACCCCCCCCCCCCCCCCCTCCCCCCTCAGGAACTCGGACCGGCTGGTGTGCACGGTGTGCAACAAGCGCGACTTTGTCAACCGTAACCAGCTGTCGGCTCACACCAAGACACACCAGATGGACCAGCGACGCTTCCGGTGTGACGTGTGTGAGGTCAGCTTCCGCTCCGAGCAGCAGCTCAACAAGCACCGGAAGAGCAACGACCACCTGCAGAAGGTACGTACGTGAGAAGAAGATGGGGACGGACAGGGAGACAGAGATGAGACTGAAGATGAAGATGGAGACAAAGATAGACAGAGACGGGTAGGAGACGGAGATGGGAGATGGGGGAAAGCCTGGGACGGATGAAGGAGACTGGTTGAGGCTGGGACAGAGACAGAGATGGGACTAAGACGGGAATGGGAGACGGTTTGGGGATGGACTGGATAGAGGCCGATGGGGGAAGGTAGATCGGAGATGCGTCTGAAACGGCTCGGGGTGTCAGACATGGGTTGGTGACGTGGGGGAACGGCCTCGAGATGGGACGGAACCGGAGCGGAGATGAGTTGGAGGGTCGGTGACGGGATGGGATCAGCTCAGATACACTGGTGGGCGGGCTGGAGATGTTCTGTCACCCATCTCTCGCCCGGTCCGGCCCGGTGTTGGTATCGCCTCTATCGTGTCCATCGGCTTATCGTCCGACTCAGCTCTGCGACAGGAGTAACCAGGGCCGTGTGGCGCCGCGGAGCGGTCTGGGAAGCGCGCTCGGCGGAAATCCCGCGCCAGTCCGCTCCGTGAGGGTATATTTAGGCCATTTGGCGCCCGTTCGACCGGCCTGGATTTTGTCAGCACTCAGCATATTTTCCCATTCAGTGATGCGCCAGTCAAGTGTTGTCCGCTAGCAGCATTACTGTTGACTGGAGCGTTTGTGCTTGTAAGAGGATCTCAACCAATTCATTACCCGAAACCTTTTATTAACCCAATTAGTCGTTGTTTTAGACGTGTTTGTCTCAATGCTCCCCATCATGCCGACATAGCCTGTTGTTCGTCGCTGGCTCGTCAGTACTGGCACTACAGTCTGTTTATTTGTGAACGCCCGCGAGTGTCCACTGGCCCCGGCTCCCGGCCGAGACTGAGCTGTTGTTACATTAGCCATGACCTGATGCCGTATCGCCGGGTCAGGATTGTGCAGCAGCTGGTGCCCTCGCTTTCTGCTCAGTTTACCAGCTAATAGACCAATCAGTGGGTGGTAATTCATTGTCAGAGTAGCTCGCATGGAGGCCATTGGTGGCTGAAAACCCCGTTATAAGTGTGGTCAGGCCTGGCGGAACAGATGGAGACTCGGTGGCGGGTCCGTGCCCCCTGTCTGACCCGCTGGGAAGGGTCTGATCGTCCCTGACCGGTCAGACGGCGTCGTTTGTATTGGCTCGGAGCGCCGCCCGCTGCCGACAGAGCCGGTGCCGATGACGTCAGTGATCCTCCCTGGCGATCCACGCCCTCAGGGGCCGTGCCAACTCGGAGTTCACTTCCTTCCCTCCCCTGCCCTCCCCTCTCTGCTGGAGCTGATGTGACATGACCCCAGTGACCTTAGTGGTCCGGACCGTGTGTGCACTGTAAATTGACCTGACTTACCCCTTGTGTATTTGTCAACTGACTCCGTGTGTTGTCTGTAACCTGACTCGTGTGACCTTGATGACCTAACTGACCCAGATGATCTCTCTTGTCGGCAGGCCAACATTCACCGGCAGTTCGGCAAGCCGCAGGGCGACAGGCGCATCTACGAGTGTCTGTTCTGCATGAGGGGGTTCCACAACATCGGCACCCTGCACAAACACTTTCGGTGCAAGACCCACATCATGGGACTGGAGAACGCCGGCTGGCTGCCGTGCGGCACGTATGCAGAGCTGGAGGCGCTCGGCGTGCCCGGCAGGACAGACGGCGCGGACAGCATCAACGTGGAGGGCACCTGGCCCAACTACTGCCATCTGCAGGTGAGAAAACCAACTAGTAGTGCCGACAGTTGCCTATAGGCAGTCGGAGAGTAAAAATGCCGAACCGGTGCGACGTATTGTTGCGCCGCTGGGCGACGTGTAATTCGGCGTTTTTTCGCCGATACGATCGCTGTTTTGGGGAAATGGCCGTGGAGCGGCGGCCGGTTCCGCGGCGCTCGGCCCGCTCGGTAATAGGCGAATCACGATTTTCTTTCCCGAGAACCGTCCGTCGCCCCGCCTGGCGCCGGTGTTGTGGCCCGTTCGTGACACACTGCCAGTTCGGTGGCTTGTTTTTGGGGACGGTGACGCGCCGGATACATTCCCCGCGGCTGGAAAGTCATGTGAAGCCCGGCAGCGGGTGTACGGGTGACGGGAGCTCTGGAGCTCCGACACGACTGAACACAGGCAGCGTCCAATAGTCACGACTGTATGTGGGGCAGCCCGGTGGCGGACTGTTAGTTACTGTTTACAGTCAAGGCCAGCTTCTAGTCAGTGGCAAATAGTGGGTCGAGCCGGAGCGTGTTTCATCCAATGTCAGAAAAGTTGTGTGCTAGTCTTGGATGGAATCTATGTAGGCCGTGTTTGTAAGGGAAATCGGACAAAGACTAGGGAGATACGATTGACAGAGTAAATGAATGAATGAATCAACTGATCGATCAATGAATGAATGGATCAATGAATCAATGAGCTAGGCATTCAAAGCTTGTTATAGCTTTTGGAATAAGATTTTGAGGCGTAACGTGGCGAATGAAAAGGATAACTTGACGGTAACAGTAGTAACATTTTCTGGCGAGCTGTTGCCCCTCCCAGTATTCGCGCCTGATTTTGGTCTCAGCCGTGCGTCAGGAGACAATATCACGTGTTATTCCGTTGTCCCAATCCGTTTAGCTGGCGGACAATGGACTGACTGCGGTCCCTGGTCGCCGGATGTGGTCGTGTCGGCCTTCGCTGTGGACACTCGCTAATCTCGGACCGGCTCGGGCAGACCGACCTGCTGCGTGACGTCGCCTGGCTCCGGCCCTACCGAGTGACCTGACCTGACCCAGACAGGAGCTGCCTGACTCCTGACCTGACATGACCCGGCAGGAGCTGCCTGACTCCTGACCTCTGACCTGACCCGGCAGGAGCTGTCGCTGACCCCTGACTTGACCTGACCCGGCAGGAGCTGTGTCTGACCCCTGACCTCTGACCTGACTCCGGCAGGAGCTGTCGCTGACGCTGCTGCAGCGGGACCGGCACGCCGAGATGGCCGACTGGCGGCGCAAGTTTGACGATATCCGGCGCGGCCGGCCACCGCGCAGCTACCCGTTCGAGATCGACCCCAAGCTGCGTGGCAACGCCGACCCGAGCCGGCCGCGGCCGCAGTTCCCGGGCGACTTTTTCCGCGCACCGCCGGCCAACGGCACAAACGAGAGTACAAACGCCGCCCAGCGGCTCACATATCGGTCGGCGAGCGCAGCCGGCGGCGGGGGCGGCCTCTGCGCGGCGCTCAAACAGGAGCAGGCCGACGAGGAACCGACGGAGCCGCTCCGGCTGAACGGACAGGTGAGAGGGAGGGAGAGAGAGAGAGAGAGAGAGAGAGAGAGAGAGAGAGAGAGAGAGAGAGAGAGAGAGAGAGAGAGAGAGAGAGAGAGAGAGAGAGAGAGAGAGAGAGAGAGAGAGAGAGAGAGTCAGGAGCCGACGGAGCCGCTCCGGCTGAACGGACAGGTGAGAGGGAGGGACGGAGGGAGGGCAGAGAGGGAGGGAGGGAGAGTCAGGGGTCGAGGGAGAAAGTTCGGGTGCTCTCCTCACCCGAACGGGAACGGTTAGGTAGAGGAGTCCAGTGAGGTGGAAGAGACTGTGAGGCATAGGAATGGGAGCAGGGGTTAGGCTAGGTAGCGAAAGTAGATTATACGGGTGGATGACTAGGTGAGTGTCAGTTTTAACCGCCGTCATCGCCCGGCTTGGTGGTTGAAGGCCAGTAGCGGCAAAACACCTTCAATTAAGGGGAGGGGTTGCTGCCGACTTTTGGTCCCATTCTTTCCATTCAACGCCCATAGGGCTAATGTTGAAATGGCCAAATCAAGGGGGCACGGTGCCCCGGTGCCCGCCCCGTTCCGCCGCCTATGTTGAAGGCCACTTGACAATTCACTTGAGTCACTGCTCGTCGCTAGCGCCACTGCTAGTTTCTGCTAGACACTGATTCCACTGTTTATTTGTCGCAAACATGCATGTGGTAATCGTCAATAGAGGTACTAATTCGTCGAAGGCCTGCGGACGTCGCCTGCTCGTCAGCGCCCCTTGCCAACACAAACAGGGATCGAATTCGGTCTCACATCGGCCGCGTGTCACCGGCTCTTTGTGGCCACAAACGAACTGGGGTGTCGGCACGAACGATTCGCTAGAAATGGGGCGCTCTCGGCGACCGAGTATCCAAAATATACCCTGGTGTTAACTGGAGAATTCTCACTTATTTGAATGTTCAACGAAAAGAAGTAACGCTCAGCACTTGTCATTGTTTGTGACTTGCTGGTTGTTGACAACCTCATTAGTTGAGTTCTTGGGCCTCGCAGACGAAAAATCACCACACGATATATGGTTATACTCGGTATCGCTCGACTTGCATTATGTAACGTTTTATCGCTCGTGTAGCAGCGGTTGTTTGTTTGGGCGGTTCTGGTTGACTGACCGGTGTGTTTCTGTGTCTTTACAGAGCTACTGAGATGGGGACCTGCTGATCTCGGGGGCGCCGAGAACCAGAAGACTTTCCGATATTGTTATAGCACGGGGCTCGGTGTGGCCCACAGGCGAGACACGTTCAAAGCTGCGCGCTCGCGCTCGCCCGCGTCTGGTGCCTTATGATGCGGTGCGGCTGGCTCGCCGGCGCCTGACGTGCGCTGGCCGTTTGTGTGTATAGCTGTGTGGGCGCGGCGGTGGCGCGCGCCCCTCGAGTATGTGATATGGGTGGACGGGACGCGCCGGTTTTGTGGCGCTGCGCCGCGCTGTGAGCGGTGCGCGCCGGGCGGCTCACCGCCAGGGTAAGCGTCGCCCGTTTACGGAGCCGGCCGGCGGGTATGTGGGCCCGCCCCAGGCGCCATTTGGAGTGATGCACGCCATACGACACGAGGATGCTGGTACAAATGTCTGTCGCGCTCACTGTGTTAATAATATGAGGAAAGTGACCTGTTGATGGCTGTTTTTGTTCTGAAACGAAATGCGGGCGAATGCTGAAGCAAAGTGGGGCTTTGTATACAGCTAGGCTGAGAGGATCCACGGCCGATCTCGCGTAGTAACAACTAGCAGGGTCTACGGCCGGCCTCGCCGGGGATTAACTATTGTACAATGGCTGTGAAGCCAACTACTCTCATGCATACATTTAAAACGAAGTGTTACGTCGAATGATGGAAATGAGTGCCAATATGCCAAATAGGATGGTTCGCTGAAAACAAAAGCAATGTCAATTATAGCACCTAACTTGTCCATTTGTAAACATATGACGGAGCGGCCGCTGAAATGTGCTCGGATCAGAATGAAGTACCCACTCTGCACCCATTTGGGTAAGGGCATAATGTCAGGAAACGGCTGGACTCAGGGGTGGATTTTTTTGTTTTTTATTGGGGTTGCACAGCTCTGAAAGGGCGCCCAAAGCGGTTCCGAGGGGCGCAATAGTCCGGAAGTGGGCGCCACCAGGTACGATCGTAATCTTGGCGTTTGGGGGGGGGGGACGAATTGGCAAAGGGGCCCCTGTAGACCCTCGCTGGGGGGCGGTGTGTTAGCTTAACCCGCGTACCGCGGAGAGGGGCGAATATCCGCCCCCCCCCCCCCTGAAGTTTTTCGTAAGTAGCGGAAAACTTCTGAAACCAGTATGAGACCCTTATATAAGCCCGGCGTAAGATCATTTAAGGCCAGTATTGAGATTGACCCTGATAAACCGGGTGAGACCTCGCACAGCAGTATGGGTCTTTGAACTCCAACGTGGGTCTTACGAGACCTGCCTGAGCCATCAGAGGCCAGTGCGGGCCCGGGGTCATCAAAGGCCAGTGCGGGGTCGTCAAAGGCCAGTTCGGAACCTCTGAGGTGGTGTGTGCCCTTGAGGCCAGCGTTGGTCCTTGAGAGGTCAATGTGGGACCCCTTGACTGGTATGGGCCCTAAGAGACATGTGTGGTGCCAATGCGACCCAAAATAGACACAACTAACGACATGGGGCTCTCAGAGACTAGCAGCGACCCTTAAAAACCTGCACGGGCCAAACAGATCGACAGGGGCCCTCCGAGATCGGCAGAGAATAAGAAGATAGCATGAGGCGCCTATGATGGGCAGGCCTGGCCTCTCAAAGACCTAAATGGAACTATCAGAGACCAGGGACCCTTAGCAGCAGACATGGGCCCTCAGAAACCGATGTGACCCCGATATGGTAATAGACCTTAATGCCGTCCCGCTGCGACGAGATTACGGCCCTCAAATTCCGAAATTCCGACATGGGGACCAACCAGAGACTGACAGGGAACATTGGAGGACGGTATGAAACGCCAAAAGTTCTTCCTTGGACCCCAGAGACTAAAGATGGGACTCTCAGAGTCTGGTGCGGGGCCCTCTGAGGCCTGTTTTGGGCCACTAGGGTCCGGTTCGGTCCATCAGATGCCGGTTATGGCCCTCAAAAGCCGATTTGGGACTCTGAGTGGCCACTGGCCAGTACTGGCCCTCCAAAACCAGTTGGTCATCAGAGGCAAGCCCAATATGATCCCTTACAGGCCAGTGTGGAGCTCTCGGAGGTCAATGTAAGCCCTCAGAGCCCAATGCGAGGCACCCAAAGTTCAATCTTGAGCCCCAGCGACCGGAGTGGGTTCATCAGATGCTAGTGTGGTCCCTCAGAGGAGCCCGATTCGGGGCCCTCAGAGGTCGGTGTAGGGCCCTCAAAGGCCAATATTGGCCCTCAAAGGCCTGTATGGGGCCCCCAGGCCCGACGTGGGCCCTCAGGGACCAGACTAACCTGGCACCCCAGAGACCATAATAGGGCCATCAGTGGCGGTGTAGAGACCCCATAGACCGACTGGGGCCCTCAGAGTCCAGTGTGGGGCCTGTTATAAGCGACAGTAGGGCTCCCGCTTGCATTGTGTCTCGAACAAGACTGGTCCACATTCCAACCGCGCCTGCTGACCCCAGCCGTCGGTCCATGCGCCGGCGGGCAAGTCATCGCAGAGGCGGCTCCAGGGAGACAATCGAGGAGCACACTACCACAGGGCCCCTAAAGACCGTCATGGGTCCTCAGAGGCCGGCATAGGGCCCTCAGAGGCACCCAAGGGACAAGGGCCAGCCTTGGGTGTCAGTGACAGAAATGGGGTTATCAGCAGCCGGTGTGAGACATTTGGAGGCCGGTTTGGGGCCCTCAGAGGCCAGTTTGGGACCCTTAGAAGCCAGTTTAGGGCCCTCTGGGCTCTGAGACCAGTACAGGGCCTTCAAAGGTCAGTTTGGAATCATCAGAGGCCGACGTGGGTCCTCAGAGGCCAGTGGAGGCCAGTGTGATTTCTACAGGCCAACGTGGAGCCCTCAGAGGTCAGTATGGGGCCCTAAAAGACCGAACAGAGCGTCCTCAAAAGCCAGGATGGGCCCTCAGAGGCCAATGTTGGTCCTAAGAGACCGGCATCGGGCCTTCAGAAGCCAGTACGGGCCCTCAGAAGTGCCCAAGGGTTAGTCTTTGTCCGCCAGAGACAGAAATTAGGCCATCCGAAGCCACGGTGTTGGGCCCTAGGAGGCCAGTTTGGGCCGTCAGAGACCAGTTTGGACCCTCAAAAGACCAGCGTGGGTCCGTACCGGCAGTGTGAGGCCCTCAGAGACCAGTACAGAGCCTTCAAAGGGCAGTTTGGAACCATCAGAGGCCGACGTGGGCCCTCACATGCCGGTGTGGTATCTTACAGGCCAGCGTGGAGCCCTCAGAGGTCAGTGTGGGGCCCTAAAAGACCAGCATGGGTCGGTGTTGGACCCCAGAGGTCAGCATAGGGCCCTCAGAGGCCGATGTGGACCCTTAGAGACCGGCATCGGGCCTTCAGAAGTCAGTACGGGCCCTCGGGGACACCCAAAGGCCAGTCTTGGGCCCCCAGAAAAAGAAATGAGACCATTAGAGGCGTGGACTCCCAGAGACCAGTTTGAGAGCCCTCGAGACCAGTACAGGGCCCTCAAAGGCCAGTTTGAGGCCCTCAGAGGTCGATGCGGGCTCTAAGTGACCGGCACCCAAAGGTCAGTCCTGAACCCCAGAGACAAATGAGGCCATCAAGAGATCAGTGTGGGGCCCTCAAAGGCCGGTTGGGGGACTCCTGATGCCGCTTTAGGGCCCTCAAGGGCCAGTGGAGGGCCCTGAGAGGTCGATGTGGGCCCTCATCGGTCGATGTGGGCCCTGAGAGGTCGATGTGGGCCCTCATCGGTCGATGTGGGCCCTCATCGGTCAAGGTGGGCCCTTGAAGGCCACTGAAGCGCCCTCAGAAGTTAGGATACTCAAAGACCGGTATGGGGGCTGTTACATAATACTGGCGTTGGTTTCTTGAGCCTCGTGACAATCGGGTAAGAGTCAGGGCCCCTACGCCCATCGGGGCCCATCGGTTGTTTAAGGGGGCAAATTATATGATGGCCCCTGATTTGTCTTTGGGGGGCCATGGCCCTGATGCCCCCCCCCCCTGCGACCTCCACTGGGCACCACCCCCACCCCCCACTGAGCGGTGAGCGGCGCACCAGGAATCGAAATCCACGATTTTTTTAACTGGTCATTTTGCATGTCCGACAGCTCTATACGGCCTTGTGACAGCTCAAGCTCTTGAGAGGAGGGTAGTACCTATATTAGAGGGGGCGGCGATGGCATTCGCTCTTGAGGCGGCAGCGCTACGCTTAGAGGGGACGGCACCTACATTTTATGGGCAGCACCCTAACTTGAGGGGCGGCACCCACGCATGGGGGGCGGCATCTATCTACATGTGAGGGAAAGGCACCTTCATTTCAAGGGGTGGCACCTACATTTAGGGGTCTGGGTGTAGCACCTACATTTGAGGGGGCTGCACTACAACTAGGCCTTAGCGGGCGGCAACTACACCCTAGGGGGTGCCATCTACATTCGAAGGGACGGCACCTACATTTTATGGGATGACTGATGACACCTATGCATAAGTGGCCGGGGCCAACATTTGAGGGGGCGGCGCGGCACCTTCATTCGAGGGGGCGGCACCTGCATTCGAGGAGGGCCGGCACCTACATTCGAGGGGGCGGCACTAACATTTGAGGGGGCGGCACCTGCATTCGAGGAGGGCCGGCACCTACATTCGAGGGGCGGCACTAACATTTGAGGGGGCGGCACCTACATTCGAGGAGGGCCGGCATCTACATTCGAGGGGGCGGCACTAACATTTGAGGGGGCGGCACCAACATTCGAGGGGCGGCATTTAGGTACATTTGGGGGGGGGCGGCACCCATAGAGATCTTATATACATAGAGATGACATGCTCTTAAAATCGTGGCGATTCAGTGGGTCTTTTTAAGCAACTTATTTTCAGCCAGTAGCGTGCCAATATGGCTGAGGCATTGTTAGTCTGAAGAAATCATTACGGAGCGAGCGAAGCGAGCGTAGTCTTTCGTAGATTAACGGAAATGTCTGAGTATAAGCGGCCGGCCGGCCGTGGTTACGCTTTTGCGAGGCTTATATCTCAACAACCACTTGACCGATTTACATGCGATAATTTTTGTAGGGTAGCTTCATTCCTTCTACCAAGTATTGGATCATTCTCGATGCATGTGGGTGACCGCTTATGCACGTGCCACGTGCAAAACGAAGAGGTGTCAGTTTTGTAATTGTTGCAATATCTTGGTAACTACTTGGCCGATTGCGCTGAAACTTGGTATGTAGGTAGGCACCCACTAGGCAATGCATATCCATGTGCCACAGTTGGGGTGCTGCTGCACGTGCGCACGTGCAGGGGTCGATTCCAGATCTCGAGAACGGCTGAACCGATTGTGCTGAAATTTGGTACATGGTTAGGGACCAGTTAGTAGGGTGCCGTGCAAAAGTCAGTTGGGACCCATTTTGCACGTGCGCACGCGCAGGGTGCCGCTTCCAGATCTCGAGAACGGCTGGGCCGATTGCGCTCAAATTTGGCACATCGCTAGGGACCGGTTAGTAGGGTGCAGTGCACAAGTTAGTTGGAGGTGT